TGGAGGTCAACAAGTCACTACAATCCCGGTTAAAAAATGGGTTTCCATTAATCTGTGCACGTCAACTGCACTAAAGTAAAGGGAAATAAAGATGCATTACCAGTTAGCGAGGACACACGGAAGAATTCTTGGCCTCGGGGAGGTACAGTCTGATTAGGTTCAACAAAAAAACAAACAATTAAGTGAAAATTTACTACACAGGTCGGCCTAGGGCACGAGGGTCAAAGGGCAACAGACAATCCACATGGTGAATATCTGTAAAGATTTCTTCTAGTGATGACTTTGGAGGATTTCAACTTTAAAACTGAACTCACACATAAAGTTTTATGTAAAAGCATGACATTCCCTGTACACGGGGTGGTCATCATGGAAGCCAAGCCCAAATGGTATTTTGAAAATAAAATAATTATGCTTTGTATTGAAGGAAGGAAAGCGAGAAAGATCAGCCAGATGGTAACAAGCTTTAACATCCTCAAATTTACTGCTTAGAGAACAATGATCAGAAGATCATGACCTCTGGTCAGACCACAAAGGTCAGGACATGGGTGGTTCTTTGACCTCAGGTGATGGACGACTGCTGGTTAAATATTTCAGTGTTGGCAGTTTAGTGGTATTGAGGATATCTACTAACAGATCACTGTGAATACTCCTTGGCTTGCTCTACTAGATTTTCTAATGCCTTACCATAAATATGGTCCATGGGTGTTTACCTTCTGCTTTGGGAAATGCAAGAGAATTGGGATTTACTGACCTTCCTGTTTTGAGGAGGGCTTCACCATCTTGTATTTCAACACATTTACACAGGTCTGAGGCCTTACCTTGGAGTCCAGAGCCATCTTCCAATAAAGAATATTCCTTTTCAATTGTTTATGAACTTAGACTTGACACAGCCCATCTCAAACTCAGAGAACATCTACAGATAACAAGTATCTATTGAGGCCTACTCAGAGGGGTTGCCAGCCACCTACTAAGGGCCTACTCAAAGGGGTAGTCAACCACCTATTGAGGTCCTACTCAGAGGGATCAACAACTACCTACTGAGGTCTTACCCAGAGGGGCCGCCAACCACCTACTGAGGTCCTACTCAGAGGGGCCGCCAACCATCTACTGAGGTCCTACTCAGAGGGGCCGCCAACCACCTACTGAGGTCCTACTCAGAGGGGTCGCCAACCACCTACTGAGGTTGTACTCAGAGGGGCGGCCAACCACCTTCTGAGGTCCTACTCAGAGGGGCTGTCAACCACCTAATGAGGTCCTACCAGAGGAGCCATCAAACCTATTGAGGTTGTACTCACAGGGGCTGCCAACCACCTTCTGAGGTCCTACTCAGAAGGGCCACTAACCACCTACCAAGGTCCTACTCAGAGGGGTCGCCAACCACCTACTGAGGTCCTCTCAGAGGGATTGCCAACCACCTACTGAGGTTGTACTCAGAGGGGCTGTCAACCACCTAATAAGGTCCTACCCAGAGGGGCCACCAACCACCTATTGAGGTTGTACATTCTTCCCACTGACCACCGATGTAAGAGACATTCTTCCCACTGACCCCCAATGTAAGGGACATTCTTCCCACTGACCCCCAATGTAAGGGACATTCTTGCCACTGACCCCCAATGTAAGGGACATTCTTCTCACTGACCCCCATTGTAAGGGACATTCTTGCCACTGACCCCAAATGTAAGGGGCATTCTTCTCACTGACCACCAATGTAAGGGACATTCTTCCCACTGACCCCCAATGTAAGGCACATTCTCCCCACTGACCCCCAATGTAAGGAGCATTCTTCCCACTGACCGCCAATGTAAGGAACATTCTTCCCACTGACCCCCAATGTAAAGGACATACTTCCCACTGACCCCCAATGTAAGGGACATTCTTCCCACTGATCACCAATATAAGGGACATTCTTCCCACTGACCCCCCAATGTAAGAGACATTCTTCCACTGACCACCAATGTAAGGGACATTCTTCCCACTGATCACCAATGTAAGGGACATTCTTCCCACCGACCCCCAATGTAAGGGACATTCTTCCCACTGACCCCCAATGTAAGGGACATTCTTCCCACCGACCCCCAATGTAAGGGACATTCTTCCCATTGATCACCAATGTAAGTGCCATTCTTCCACTGACCCCCAATGTAAGGGACATTCTTCTCACTGACCCCCAATGTAAGGGACATTCTTCCCACTGACCCCCAATGTAAGGGACATTCTTCCCACTGACCCCTAATGTAAGGGACATTCTTCCCACTGACCACCAATGTAAGGGACATTCTTCCCACTGACCCCCAATGTAAGGGACATTCTTCCCACTGATCACCAATGTAAGGGACATTCTTCCCACTGACCCCCAATGTAAGGGACATTCTTCCCACTGATCACCAATGTAAGGGACATTCTTCCCACTGATCACCAATGTAAGGGACATTCTTCCCACTGACCCCCCAATGTGAAGGACATTCTTCCCACTGACCCCCAATGTAAGGGACATTCTTCCCACTGACCTCCAATGTAAGGGACATTCTTCCCACTGACCCCCAATGTAAGGGACATTCTTCCCACTGACCCCCAATGTAAGGGGCATTCTTCCCACTGACCCCCCAATGTGAAGGACATTCTTCCCACTGACCTCCAATGTAAGGGACATTCTTCCCACTGACCCCCCAATGTAAGGGACATTCTTCCCACTGATCACCAATGTAAGGGACATTCTTCCCACTGACCCACCAATGTAAGGGACATTCTTCCCACTGACCTCCAATGTAAGGGACATTCTTCCCACTGACCACCAATGTAAGGGACATTCTTCCCACTGACCCTCAATGTAAGGGACATTCCTCCAACTGACCCCCAATGTAAGGAGCATTCTTCCAACTGACCCCCAATGTAAGGGGCATTCTTCCAACTGACCCCCAATGTAAGGAGCATTCTTCCAACTGACCCCCAATGTAAGGGGCATTCTTCCAACTGACCCCAAATGTAAGGGATATTCTTCCCACTGACCCCCAATGTAAGGGACATTCTTCCCACTGAACCCCAATGTAAGGGACATTCTTCCCACTGACCCCCAAATGTAAGGGACATTCTTCCCACTGACCCCCAATGTTAGGGACATTCTTCCCACTGACCACCAATGTAAGGGACATTCTTCCCACTGACCCCCAATGTAAGGGACATTCTTCCCACTGAGATTGGAAAGTTATTTCAAGGGCTCTCCTGTGTTAAATAGATTTAGGAATTCTGCTCTCCAGTATTGCCTTTCTGTTCAGCACAGTTGCGGGATCAAATCAAAAATGTAAATTTCCACTTGTTTTCTCTCCCCAATGGGAGATTTCCTAGCCATTGCTCTCCAGGTGAACCTCTATGACATGACGGGAAGTGAGGGAACATCCCTATTAAGGACAGAGACACCCAAAGCATCTACAATCGGTGACCAAACCATCCGGTGGATTATTAGAGCATTAAATATGGTAATCGGAGATTAAACTTTCGTCTTTACGGTGTTTGCCGGTTATATCACCCCCAACCCCCCCCCCCCCCCCCCCCCGGGGGCACACAAGCCCGTCCATTTCTTGTGGAGTTTGGCCGAATCCATCCTTAAACACATAAATATTTTCCTTTGCTCCCCGCGGAAGGTGATGCACTTCTATTTGTATTCCTGGTCCTAAACATCCGACACCTGGGACCACCACTGAAATGTGGAGGCCGCGGCCACAAGTCCCTGGTGTTAATAGGAATCTGACAAGACTCGGATATTTACATTATTTTTGCGAAAGTGTCTGAATCATGCATTTTTCTCTTCCAGCGAGACCCTCAGATATACCCCGATAGAGTAAAACAACAAATATATCATGAAATGTTTATCCACCAGAACAGCATGGAACATTCCCTCCAGTACGGAGGATGGAAGAGGAAGCCACATGCTAAATCCATCATCTATCAAATGTAATGAAAAGATAATCTATCCCACGTTTTATTTCCAAGGTCCACGCGTCGTCCCCTACCGCGAATCCGAACGATTCCGGGGCTTGTGTCTCCATAGCCCATCAGTTACGGGACTCTGGGGTCCTGGATGGGCTTATCTATAACAGTCCTGAGATATTTCTGACTTAACCTCTTGGTGACCGACGTATGTATAGAAAGATCACGTCAGCAAGTGGTTGTCACAAGGTCATGGCTGCAACTGCAACCTGCCGCCTGTGGTGGTTCCTTGGCTTTCCCATTCCGGCAGGCAGTCCTGGACCACGGGAAGCAGTAGAGATGGGCACAATGGAAACATTTGTTTCAGATTCGTTCATTGAGTTAATCATTTTGTTTCCTCATATTAGAATGATTCCTTTAGGAATTTGTTCCATATATTCGGACTTGTTTTGTATATTCGGATTCGGTTAGTATATTCGTTATTCTTCAGTCGGTTTGAATTTTGGACGGCGCTATTCGCCTTATTCGTTATTTCGGGAAATTATACTTATGCACTCTGTTTGGGTCGGATGGAGGTGGATTCATTAGAATCTCCGAAACAAAACGAAATTCATTTGGGATTCATTAGTTATGTTATATTTCGGAGATCCAGGTGGATCCACCTCCATCTAACCCGAACACAAAAAGGGCCATTTCACACACATCAGTTTTTCCGTTAAAAAAAGCAAAAGAAAATGCAATAAAAATACTTCCCTGTAAATCCTATAGAACTCTTCCCACTGACCACCAATGTAAGGGACATTCTTCCCACTGACCACCAATGTAAGGGACATTCTTCCCACTGACCCCCAATGTAAGGGACATTCTTCCCACTGACCCCCCCAATGTAAGGGACAGTCTTCCCACTGACCCCCAATGTAAGGGACATTCTCCCCACTGACCCCCAATGTAAGGGACATTCTTCCCACTGACCCCCAATGTAAGGGACATTCTTCCCACTGACCCCCCCAATGTAAGGGACAGTCTTCCCACTGACCCCCAATGTAAGGGACATTCTTCCCACTGACCCCCCCAATGTAAGGGACATTCTTCCCACTGATCACCAATGTAAGGGACATTCTTCCCACTGACCTCCAATGTAAGGGACATTCTTCCCACTGACCCCCAATGTAAGGAACATTCTTCCCACTGACCCCCATGTAAGGGACATTCTTCCCACTGACCCCCAATGTAAGGGACATTCTTCCCACTGACCCCCAATGTAAGGTAAATTCTTTCTTCCCACTGATCACCAATGTAAGGGACATTCTTCCCACTGACCCCCAATGTAAGGGACATTCTTCCCACTGACCCCCAATGTAAGGTAAATTCTTCCCACTGATCACCAATGTAAGGGACATTCTTCCCACTGACCCCCAATGTAAGGGACATTCTTCCCACTGACCACCAATGTAAGGGACATTCTTCCCACTGACCCCCAATGTAAGGGACATTCTTCCCACTGACCCCCAATGTAAGGGACATTCTTCCCACTGACCTCCAATGTAAGGGACATTCTTCCCACTGACCCCCAATGTAAGGGACATTCTTCCCACTGACCACCAATGTAAGGGACATTCTTCCCACTGACCCCCAATGTAAGGGACATTCTTCCCACTGACCTCCAATGTAAGGGACATTCTTCCCACTGACCCCCAATGTAAGGGACATTCTTCCCACTGACCACCAATGTAAGGGACATTCCTCCCACTGACCTCCAATGTAAGGGACATTCTTCCCACTGACCACCAATGTAAGGGACATTCTTCCCACTGACCCCCAATGTAATGGACATTCTTCCCACTGACCACCAATGTAAGGGACATTCTTCCCACTGACCCCCAATGTTAGGGACATTCTTCCCACTGACCACCAATGTAAGGGACGTTCTTCCCACTGACCCCCAATGTAAGGGACATTCTTCCCACTGATCACCAATGTAAGGGACGTTCTTCCCACTGACCACCAATTTAAGGGACATTCTTCCCACTGACCACCACTGTAAGGGATGTTCTTCCCACTGATCCCCAATGTAAGGGACATTCTTCCCACTGATCCCCAATGTAAGGGACATTCTTCCACTGACCACCAATGTAAGGGACATTCTTCCCACTGATCACCAATGTAAGGGACATTCTTCCCACTGACCTCCAATGTAAGGGACATTCTTCCCACTGACCCCCAATGTAAGGGACATTCTTCCCACTGACCCCCAATGTAAGGGACATTCTTCCCACTGACCCCCCCAATGTAAGGGACATTCTTCCCACTGACCCCCAATGTAAGGGACATTCTTCCCACCGACCACCAATGTAAGGGACATTCTTCTCACTGACCCCCAATGTAAGGGACATTCTTCCCACTGACCCCCAATGTAAGGGACATTCTTCCCACTGACCCCCAATGTAAGGGACATTCTTCCCACTGACCCCCAATGTAAGGGACATTCTTCCCACTGACCCCCAATGTAAGGGACATTCTTCCCACTGACCTCCAATGTAAGGGACATTCTTCCCACTGACCACCAATGTAAGGGACATTCTTCCCACTGACCCCCAATGTAAGGGACATTCTTCCCACTGACCCCCAATGTAAGGGACATTCTTCCCACTGACCCCCAATGTAAGGGACATTCTTCAGTTGCATTTTCACACAGCTTCCTTGCAAAAATGCAGTAAAAATGTGTATATGCATTTCTTTGTTGTGTTTTTGATGCATTTGCGTTGCGTTTTTCCCTAAAACGTTGTGTATTAGTACCGCTTGGACCTTGAAGAAGGGAACGCACAACAAAATTTGTCCTGAAAAATTGTATATTAGTGCAAATAAAAAAAAGTATCACGGACAGTACTCAGTTGTTTCTGTCCCTTGGACATGTGACTGGACATGTGACAGGACACAGCTCCTCCCACAGGTGCATTGCATTTCTTGATGCGTTTTGGACACATTCTCCCGTACATTTTAATGGAGAGTTGCATTTTCAGTTGTGTATTTTTTCTTCCACCGCACCCAACATGCACCAAGAAATGCAGCAAGACGGACTCTTAAAAATGCAACTAAAATGTAGCGGACCAATGCGAGGAGCTCCACAGGTTCATCAGTGTGCCCTTAAAAGTCCAGTTTGCTGCATTTTTGGTGCACGTTTGGTGTTGCAAAAAAAAAAAAAAAAAATAACCCAAATGCATCTCCCTATTGAAATGCATAGAAACAACAGCAAAATTAGGCTTCAAAGAAGCAACATGCCTGTGGGAAGTGCTTTGACCAGTCACATATCTAGGGGAAAAATGTAAACCCAGCAAAAACGCATCAAAAACCTCCTCAAAAATGCAACGCAGCAAAAATGTATTTGCAACAAAGCAGTTTGCAGGCAGCCTAAGTAGGAATCATCGTCTTATTTCACTTTTATACCTTTCTGGATTTATTACAATAGGTTTCCATGGATTTGGATAAGTCGTTTTTTTGTTTCATTATAATTTATTCCGGACTTTGAAATTCGTTACCATTGTGATTTGGAAATTTGGATACATCTGAATCTCCGAATAATGAAAATGTAATGAGTAAATAATGAGTTGCACATGTCTAGTAGCTGGGATGGCTTCCCGCAGAGGAGATGGAGGAACGTGCGTTCTTTGATCTCCTCTGCGACTAATGATGTCAGAAGTGACAACGTCTCTCTGGTTTTAGAATTGTCAGTTCCTGGCTTTTACAATCAAGCATGAGCTGTACCTGGTTAGCTGCTTTGGAGGGCAGGAGAGACATCGGGGATCTAATATACCCCTGATGTCTCCATAAAGAGGACCTGTCACCTGCCCAAAGCTATTGCAAGGTAGCTTCTTAGCCCACTTGTGTTAGCAATAAAGTTAAACTAAAAAAAAAAAAAAATAATATATATATATATATATATATATATATATATATACATATAATGAAGCACCCCTGTCCCCCCCATGCACACTTGCAAATGCAAACGCATGTGTAGGTCCAGCATGCGTTTGTAAACAGTGATTGCACCACACATGGGAGGCAGACAGACATCTGGATGACAGCAATCATTTCAGGATCAGAGCTCATGTAGCCTGTAAAGTCTTTGAAAGCATCACCTTTGGACAATTTTAGGCACCGTAGTTTGTCGCCATTTCATGGCCGTGTGCAGCTTTATGTCTGGACATGTTTGGTATCTATTTACTCAACACAACCTCATCTTTTATATTTGACCAAAAAACAAGGTGTTATGTTGTGTTTGTGTGTATTAAAAAATTATTTTGGTATTTTTCCTAGAAATTGATGTTTGATAGTATAGACACCGCTACTACACCAGTACTACACCGGCTCCTCCCCTTCAATCTTGCACAGGTGTACTGGCTCCTCCCCTTCAGTCCTGCACAGGTGTACCGGCTCCTCCCCTTCAGTCTTGCACAAGTGTACCGGCTCCTCCCCTTCAGTCTTGCACAGGTGTACCAACTCCTCCCCTTCAGTCTTGCACAGGTGTACCTGCTCCTCCCCTTCAGTGTTGCACAGGTGTACCGGTTCCTCCCCTTCAGTCTTGCACAGGTGTACTGGCTCCTCCCCTTCAGTCTTGCACAGGTGTACCTGCTCCTCCCCTTCAGTCTTGCACAGGTGTACCGGCTCCTCCCCTTCAGTCTTGCACAAGTGTACTGGCTCCTCCCCTTCAGTCTTGCACAGTTTTACCAGCTCCTCCCCTTCAGTCCTGCACAGATGTACTGGCTCCTCCCCTTCAGTCTTGCACAGGTGTACAAACTCCTCCCCTTCAGTCTTGCACAGGTGTACCTGCTCCTCCCCTTCAGTCTTGCACAGGTGTACCTGCTCCTCCCCTCCTGTCTTGCACAGTTATACCGGCTCCTCCCCTTCAGTCTTGCACAGGTGTACCGACTCCTCCCCTGCAGTCTTGCACAGTTATACCTGCTCCTCCCCTTCAGTCTTGCACAGGTGTACTGGCTCCTCCCCTTCAGTCTTTCACAGTTATACCTGCTCCTCCCCTTCAGTCTTGCACAGGTGTACCGGCTCCTCCCCTCCCCTCCTGTCTTGCACAGTTATACCTGCTCCTCCCCTCCTGTCTTGCACAGGTGTACCGGCTCCTCCCCTCCCCTCCTGTCTTGCACAGTTATACCTGCTCCTCCCCTCCTGTCTTGCACAGGTATACCTGCTCCTCCCCTTCAGTCTTGCACAGGTGTACTGACTCCTCCCCCGGACCGAAATGGCTTTCTCTGATTTTACTGCACGCTGTGAGCCTCTCACAATGTGCATTAGAAGCTACAGCAAGTCAGATAGAGCTCCGCCTCTTTTCCTTTCTGGAGGACGTCCAGCATCATATCCATACCTGGAATTCTTTAGAGGATTTTGGGCAAACCTTTGGTGGTCTCCTATTTTCAGGTGGAAATACAAACCTGACAGAGTTCCTCACATTCCCAGCACTTGACATAACAAAGTTCTGGCTGGACTTCCACTTCTAGATTTCACTTTCCCGAAGGCAGCTCCTTAGATGGTGCATGCTGATTGGTTGCTTTGTGTTGTAGTATTTGGCAATATTGGAGTTGTACGGAAGGTCACCAGTTTCCTGGCTGAAGCCTTCGGTGGATATCAGACATCTGCCTTCCCAGCTGCTGATCGGAATTCTTCACTAAATGGGTCACAGTATTACCAGTAATGAGTGGAGTCCCACCAGCCCTGAGTCACTCCTCTTCCCAAACGTTCACCAGGGAAGACAATGGCATTGTCATTAATCATGGCCAATCTACGGCCAGCTGAAACACGTTCACTTGACACAGAAATCGAATTCTCACGTAGACTGACTCTCTACAGACTAATTGTCATCCTCATCCCTCCACAAGTAGAAGGAACTGTGTTTAGCTCACCTCCTGCTGGGATGGGGTGAATCATAGGTAGTTAATTGGTGCCGCCATTTGACAAAGGACACCCATGATGTGTTCCCTTCCAAGCAACAGAACACAAACAAAGTCTGAAAGTCTGTTCCCTTCCCTGCCAAGAAAACAAAAAGCCTTTGTTCATATTTATCTTTAATTAACAGCTTTATTCATACTGAACACACGCAGAAGAACATTCAAAGTCCTGGCCATTATCTGCTGGTCTACAAAACAAACAAAAGTCTTCCAAAAAGGGGCCCAATGGAGCCTTCCCTCTAAAATCCAAAAAACTGATATTCTACTTTCTCCTCTCATGGTATTGTAAAGTTCATTAACTGGCAACAATAAAATCTCCACAATGTGCTCGTTTACTAACGATATGCTGGTTGAAGGCACCTAAAAAGTCCTCTATGAAATTGACGTAGTGGCCTGCCACTAGTTTGTGGGTTAGATGCCCTATGATGCATGGCAGTAGTCACACAGAGGCCCGGAATGCAGGAACCATTGTGTTGAAGAACGTTCAAAACAGTACAACAGCCCGGCGGGGAGGCCACCCAACCGGGATCCCACAGTCATTGCAGTGGAGAGTCAGTGGTAGTAGGTCAGTGCTTGTCATGGGAGGTGGGGTGCGGCGTGGCTGGTCCAACTCAAGAGGGAGCTTGCAGAAGTGCAGACGTAGGCTTTGAGCTTTTCCCACTCCTCCAGAACCTTTCCCTACAGCCAGCGCTGACCCTGACAGGTGCGTATGCTCTCCCCACGCTAGCCATTTCGTAAATGCGCACCAAAATCTGGGGGAGGTGACTTAAAAAGACTCTGCTTGGTCCAAAATAGCCACCAGGGTCACCTGGATGCAGCATAGCCAAGAATGCTGCTCCAGGGACTGAGGAAACCATGGAGAGACCAAGTTTCTCTTGACTTCATACCACTTTGTAGCCACTCTTGTAAGGGCCACTGGATTTGATTGGGTCCCCCTGAGCTCTGCACAGCCAGGCAACACGCATTTTCATCCACACGTTGCACTCAGTTTCAGTAAACAGTCCTTGAACCTGGTTTTGTGATTTTATTAAAGGGGTTAATAACTTGGATGGCGTTGAGGGGTGTATGGGGTGCCCAAGAAAACTGCAAACTTGAGGACAAACTCCTTAGCAACTGTACAGATGTGAACAAAATAGTCTCTCCTTTAACCACTTCCCGTCCGGCCGTTGCATATAAACGGCCGGACGGTGGCACTGCAGGGTCGGGTGGCCGTTTATAAACGGCCTCCCCGCACCCTGCTTGTGCGTGCTCCTTGGGAGCGCGCAGCACCGCGATCCGGTGCCCGCTGTGTCCTCCGGACACAGTGAAACACCGATCGTCGGACGGGACCTCTGTACAAGGTCCCGATCATGTGATCACTGATTGGCCAATCAATGATCACATGCAAAGTAGTAAGCAAGATGTCACTTGTGTCATCATTGCTTACTACGTGTGAAATCTGTGAATGATCACAGAGGTCACATGGTACAGGGCTATTCACAACAGCCTTGTACCATGTGACAAGCTGTGACCAATCACAGCTCACTCAGTACTTCTCAATGAGTGCAAGAATGCACACAGAGAGAAAGAGAAACGATTGCTTTTACATCCTATATGGGTGTAAAAGCAATCAGTGTAAAAAAAAAAAAAAAATCTTCATCACCCCCCACAAGTAGTACAGTGTCACCATGGTGACACTGTACTGCTAGGGTGACAGTATGTAAAAAAAAAAAAATTAAAATAAAAAATAATAATATAAAAAAATAAAATAAAAATGTAAAAAAAAAATGTTTAAAAATTATACTTTTTGGTTCTAAACTAATTTGGATTTTTTTTTTTAATAAAAAGATAACGGAATAAATTTTGGCCAAGATTTATGATGAAATATTATTTATTTGCAAAATGTTATAAAAAAAAACACTTTTTTTCAAAATTTTTGGACATTTTCATTTACATAGCAAAAAAAATACAAATCCCAGCGGTGAATAAACACCACCAAAATAAAGCTTTATCTGTCTCAAAAAAATGGTAAAAAATTCATTTGGGTACAGTGTTGCATGACCGCGCAATTGTCATTCAAAGTGTGATAGCGCTAAAGCTGAAAATTGCCCTGGACAGGAAGGGAGGGAAAGTGTCCGGTCTGGAAGTGGGTCTGGAAGTGGTTAAGAGCATTCCAGCTCTCTGGTGTATCTCCTCAGACCCCAGATGAATCCTCCTCCCCACCCAGATGTACTGAAGGTATTTCCTCGGCAAGGGGGGCCCAAAAACTTCCAATTTAGCACTGAAGCCCCAGATGAGAAGCTAGTTGGGTCTCCCACCTGACTGCCCTCTCCCCTTATCCAGCCCAGAGGGTTTAAGAGTACTGTCCTCTCCTGATAGCTCAATGGGTTGGTGGCCGTCTTCAGGTCTTTTGCCAGGCTGGCTCCTTCCCTGCTGCTCAGGATATCCTCCCTTGGAGATGGTGGTACAGTGGAGATCCTCTTCTCCAGCACCTGCCTGTAGGTAGGCCCCTTCCCTTGGCCTCCACCCAGGCTCCACACTCCAGCCATTCACTCCAACATCCACCCGACACTCACTGCACTTGCTGCATAGGCTCTGCCACTTTTGAGGGTTGCCCTGGACACCATGTTCAGCCTACTGCCAAGAGCTTGGGCAGGGTCCCTCACACATGCAGATCTGGGCTTCCTCCCCTCCTCCACCCCTCTTCCAGAAAGTTCTCTAAGTTTCTGGAAGGGTGGGAGGGTTTCAGAAGCTCTGACCTGTTAGAGCCTCCCAGCCTGTACTGAGGTGACCTCTCTATCTCACTCGCAGGCTGACTCATCCCCAGGCTGCTACTCATCCTGTATCTAAAAAAAATATAACAACAAACTGCTATCTGGCTAACCTGGAGGGCATTACAGCTTCATACAGCTGCAGTATTGCTCCAGTCGAGTGCTACCTACAGTGGAGAAAACAGACTACCTACCTACAAGATAGGCTAAATTGAGCTTCTGCTTTCGCTGCACCCATTGGAGAAATCATCTGTTTTGTTTGTCTGGTCAGGTTTCCTAACCTAGGTGATTGCTTGCTTCTGCCTGTTTCTGGAGGGAGATTCCACAGCACACAGTGCACTATTCCTCCTACTGACACCAATGATGGGACACTATTCCTCCCATTGACACCAATGATGGGGCACTATTCCTCCCACTGACACCAATGATAAGACACTATTCCTCCCACTGACACCAATGATGGGGCACTATTCCTCCCACTGACACCAATGATGGGACACTATTCCTCCCACTGACACCAATGATGGGGCACTACTCCTCCCACTGACACCAATGATGGTGCACTATTCCTCCCACTGACACCAATGATGGGGCACTATTCCTCCCACTGACACCAATGATGGTGCACTATTCCTCCCACTGACGCCAATGATGGGACACTATTCCTCCCACTGACGCCAATGATGGGGCACTATTCCTCCCACTGACGCCAATGATGGGACACTATTCCTCCCACTGATACCAATGATGGGGCACTATTCCTCCCACTGACACCAATGATGGGGCACTATTCCTCCCACTGATACCAATGATGGGGCACTATTCCTCCCACTGACAACAATGATGGGACACTATTCCTCCCACTGACACCAATGATGGGGCACTATTCCTCCCACTGACACCAATGATGGGGCACTACTCCTCCCACTGACACCAATGATGGGACACTATTCTTCCCACTGACACCAATGATGGGGCACTATTCCTCCCACTGACACCAATGATGGGGCACTATTCCTCCCACTGATACCAATGATGGGGCACTATTCCTCCCACTGACACCAATGATGGGACACTATTCCTCCCACTGACACCAATGATGGGGCACTACTCCTCCCACTGACACCAATGATGGTGCACTATTCCTCCCACTGACACCAATGATGGTGCACTATTCCTCCCACTGACGCCAATGATGGGACACTATTCCTCCCACTGACGCCAATGATGGGGCACTATTCCTCCCACTGACGCCAATGATGGGACACTATTCCTCCCACTGACACCAATGATGGGGCACTATTCCTCCCACTGACGCCAATGATGGGGCACTATTCCTCCCACTGACGCCAATGATGGGACACTATTCCTCCCACTGATACCAATGATGGGGCACTATTCCTCCCACTGACACCAATGATGGGGCACTATTCCTCCCACTGATACCAATGATGGGGCACTATTCCTCCCACTGACAACAATGATGGGACACTATTCCTCCCACTGACACCAATGATGGGGCACTATTC